ATTCCTGGCTGAAAAAAAAATATGCTACGTAGACGCGTAGCCGGATACGATCGTTCCCGAGTTGCAATAAAAATAGTTGGACACGGTTAACAGGGATCGAAAATTATGGTCCACCCCCTTCGGGGCCGGCCGACGACCAGTGTATCTAACGTTGGTAATATCGCCGTCTGGTAAACCGCACATTGCGACTCATACCGATCCGGTACGATGTTAACCACCGTACACGTGTGTGTCTCCATACCGCGTGGCTCCATCCCCCTTTCCTCATCTCCCTCTCTCTCTCTCTTTCTCCCGATACAACCCCTCATTCCAACCGTTTGTCCACACCATACACTTTCGACTAAAGTAGTAATGAACGCGTTCTGCAGTTTGCACTCGGCGCGACCCCGCCATTATTACATTGCTCGAGCTAAATAAATTATTCCGACGTGCTACCCCCGTGGCTTTCGTCCTATCGTCGTCGTATGCGGGAATACTCGCACGACCCCATATCACGTCCGAAAATTCCCTCCGCCGCAATTCTTACTCCCCCGCGTCTTGCGATTTTCCTTGTCGACTCTATCGTGTTCCCAGTCAGGACAATTACGATGTGTCGATGTGTCTGTTTATGATGTATGCGTTCGAGATGTTCGATCGATACATGTTTTTAGATATAAAGTGGATGTACGAAATTTTTCATCGAAGCACCTCAGATAACGAATGATGTAAATATAATATAAATTTGTTATTTAAAAAAATTCCTTCGAGCAAATATTATCTTATATTAAGAAAATAGAATGTGTGTAAAATGAAAGGATAAAATCGTTAAATTTAACTAATCTTCGCAATGATATGCTTCGAGACATATAACTAATTTCCAATTCAGAGAGAGAGGAGGAGGAGGAGGAGGAGGGAGAGGTAGAGAAATAGATGCGTACGTCCGTAGTTAAATGTAGCAATGTAAGACAATAATCGGGAAGATAATTATATTAATAACTGGATGGAGGTCAAACGCGACCGGATGGCATGTGCTGGCGTGCATACGATAGTAAATACATCTAGGGTGCGTACGTGCGGAATACATATGCACGAGACTGCATCGTGCTTGGTTCGTAACTCACCAGGATATTGGATACTCTGTTATCATAGTAAACCTCCATCCCTCAGTGAAGCCGGTGACGACGTAATTATCTCTAGTAATTAAAGTACACACCTACTTTGCTCGATATTGGCTCTTTAGAGCCTGCCACGGACGAAGTGCGCGGAATTATGGAAATCATAAGCAAGCAACGACGTTTAACTAACGTTGCACGGGAACGATCCTGACCAGAGATAACGTGTACCATCGTCTCGGTTCTCCACCGATATTGCGCGACTTCCGCGAATATATTCGTGAAAAATAAATTGCATGGTATTGTCGCAAAGAGCTTGTTTTATATTTACGCATAAAACTTTTGATTGAATCCTCTTGTTTGATTGAATCAAACACAGAACGATTCGATGCAAATTATACGTTCTGAAAATAGTAGTTTTAATTGAAGAAACGTGTAGAATAAATTGGATAATAAATATATCGAAGATATTTAGTTAGATTTGAAATATTGTTATAGATTTTTGAAATCAATATATAGATATTTTTTTTTAATTCATATTTAGTTTCCTTGGATTATTTTTAATCCAATCCAAAATATATTCATATGTAGGTATAATGTATTCATTAAAATCCATTTTACAAACTATTTCAATCAGTTTAAATGGAACACGTATTTTTTCGAATGGCTCTCGCGATTCGCATAGATTGCGATAGAAAACAAGAATAGCAGTTACTCACGTTATACGATGAAAGCATTTGGCACCTGAAGCCTTGCATTTGCAGATTTGTCTGCGTCTCTTCTAGACGTTCGCCACTCTCCTTTCTGGAAAATTGTAATGCGCCGTCTTCTTGCGGACCACCAGCTTTTAAGGGATTTATCGAGCCCCACATTAAATGGCACTGATCTTAGTAAATCCAGATGGAATTCTCGTGTTTCCGCCACTTGGCGTAGCTTCCAGGATTTGGCGGCAACCGTCGTACCTCTACGCCAAAAATCGATTTATTCGCATTAATCGTCGGCTTGCGGAGTGCACGACATATTTCCATATTAGAATTAAGTGCTGCGTCCCTAAGTGACAGACAAAAAAGCGATGAGAAATGTCCCCAATAACGACCAGCTGTTAGTTGTAACATCAATGTCGCGACGCTTTCTCGTTTCACGTGTTGTAATAAATAAAATTCTGTAAATAGTATAATCTGCAGAATAACCACAAAAGTGATATTGACTATTGTGCGTTTATTGTTCGATAAACATGAAGAGTTTCAATAGATGTTACCAGTTTTATCTTCGTTGTCTATGTAACTTACTAAATAATTTTAAATATATTATTTAAAATTAAATGTTATTTGTTAAAATTAATATATTTCTATAGTAAATATAAGTTGAGAATATACTTACATATATATTGTGACAGAAATTATACTTAGCAATGTTAAAGATGAAAATTTACCTACGCATAGTTATCACGTAGGTTTATGTAATGCTAGCATATTACCAACTGTAAGCATTATGTGTCCAAAGTTCAGTCAGTTCACCACTCAAAGTTGCTTTGCGAGAACAAAGGATTAGGATCGTATGCACAGCTATTACAGTTACAAGTTCTAAAGCTAATGAAAACGGGTTTGTAATTGGCCCGGCAACAATTATATATTTTATATAAAATAATCTTCTCTACTTTCCTATAGTTTCTCAACTATGAAATCATTGTTGATGATTTTGTACTTAAGAAAAACTAAATAAAATACAACTAACAATTCTAATTCTATATTTTTACAAATTACTCTATTTTAGTTCAATAATTCACGATGTGTCGTCTCAATTCATTCCATTTTTTGTCCATCAAGAAAAAAATAGATTATTTATAAAAAAATTAACTGTAAAATACAAAATATCAAAATGACTACAAATTTTTTTCTTTTAAACATTCTTTCAAACATCGAGAATATATAAAAATTAATAATACACACGAAATATCAAAGAAACTATAAAATTTTTTTTTAAATGTTATCAAATTATAATTCGACAAATCTATAAAACAAATCCCTCGAAAACCTATCAATTTTATAAAGCTATCATTACTAAAAAACTATCTTCTGGCGGAAAATATAGAGAAATCGAATAAAAAGCTGTGATAGAATGACCGATAGGTTTGGTGGATTGGTGCATCTTGCACTTACGTTTCTTTCTGTAAAATAGAAGAAGGGTGAAGAATAGACACAGCGGAGGTAGTAAGTGGCCTAGTAAGTCTCACGATAACAGTTATAAATGACCCTCTCGAAGTATGGCGCCATGCCATCCAACCCTCAGCTATACGCTAGACACTGGCTCCTTCGTAATCTAACACATGCCCAGACGATATAGTCGTAAAAGGTACTAAACAAACATACGCTAAGTGGCCTGGTCACAGCGTGTGCACGACTATACTACGGGCTGTTTACGTATCCTTGATCGATAATCGTGTATGCTGTTATATGGTTTTAGATCGATTCTTCCTCCTAAGATTGTTACATCACGGATATCATTTTTGAGAAAGACATCTTTATTTTAAATGTAAATTTCATTGAAACATGGCCATAGTACTTTTCGTACTTACTACTTTGACGTAATTACGATATTTTCTAGATCATCTAACCATAACCATCTAAAACGAATAGTTTTTATTAGTTTTTTACTTTAATTTATCCTATATTTAGGATTTATCCTATATGGATAAATCTTTGAAATACTAAACAAAGAAACAAGAATTTTATTATTAATGTTTCTTATTTTTTAGAATTTTTGTAATTTTTTGAATTTTTTGTAACTCATTTACTTAATGGATTATTCCAAATCTCCAACATTTATTATATATTATTATAGATCACATATTACTCACATTGATCTCACATTGCTTAGTCACATTGTTTTTAAATAATAAATTTTTTGTATTAAGCAGATTATCTTTGATTATCTTCTTATTAGAGAATATTAATTGAACATAACCAATAAGCAATCTACAAAGTATTAAATATCTATAAATAATCATTATGAATTTTTATAGAATAGTTTAAGAATAGTTTTAAAAAATATTAATAGATAACATATTTAATAATTAATTATATGAAATAAATTATAAAAAAACTATAACAAATATTCTTTAGATTATGTTTAGTAAATACGATTATATATTAAGAAAATGCACTTCTAATTGCACTAAGTTTAGTCAAAATATAATGATTATCATATAATCACAAAAAAAATTATTATCAATCAATTTTACACTGATTTCTAAATATCATTTAAAATAGTTTTTTTATAATTTTTACAGCAAACTGTTAACCATTTCATACAAATAATCTAAGAATAATTTTCTAGAGCCTTGAAAATGCATCCAAACGAGATGTTCGCGAAATCTCATATAGAGTGCGTTACTTGATGAATAAGGTTTATAAAATGTCGGTAACAAATTATAAGAAGGAACCATCTATGTTAAAATTCAGATACGACATTATGATTGATAGATTATATTTTTAATGAAGCAATGCATACGATTATGCAATTTTATTAGAAAAAAAATAATATAAAAATATTATACATGTAAAAATTATTCTTACAATTTTCCAATAGTTTCTCGTATATAACCTTAACTGTTCAAACAATTTAATATTCGTTACTTAATTAAAATATACAAGTAAAAAACTAATAATTTTGTTTAATTTATCACTAAAAACACAAGAAAGAATATAAATATAAATTAAATATATATAAAATCTGTAAAAATTAAAAGAAACAAAGATTTGAATGATAAAATATATGTACACTAATGCACACGAATTTGCTACTAACTAATTGTACTAAATATATGCGATTTTAAAAAGATATGCGCGCGTCATTAATACGCATGCGCAGATATGTGAATCTGTAATACACAAAGTACAATGAAATGCAGGTTGGAGCAAGTGTCATGGCGCTAACTTCGGATATCGATTTTGGTCCAGTGAGATGCAGATTATTCTATTGATAGCATTCCCAATTTATGTTCAACTTAAGTAAGATAAATATTTATAATATTAATTTTTTTATATTTATTAATTTATACTTAAAAATTACTATATAGTATTCGTAGATAAACGTATTTTTATTGGGAGTGGTCATTGCATCTCAATCCTATATAAATTTGTAAATAGTTTCGTTTAAAATGCGAATATTGACGCTCGGTGTTCTTTTTAATACTCTTCATATTATATACAGTAAGTATTTTATCTTTTTTCATCATAAATATTTGAGAATCATTTAAATCTTTTAAAAATTTTGTTGTACTTTAGGTATTATTTTGTCATTTACTTCGATTGTTTTCTATACAAAAAGTAGAATGACAGAAAAGATTTATATTTCATTTAGGTGTTGCTGGATTGAAAATTTTCGAAGCAAATCCTGACACAAAAAGACTTTACGATGACTTATTATCGAATTATAATAGACTTATACGACCTGTTATGAACAATACCGAAACCTTGACAGTTCAACTCGGTTTAAAATTATCACAATTAATTGAAATGGTATTAAATCATACAATTTTTTTCTTTTTTTTTTGATAAAGTAATATTAATAATATTGCTTAAATTTACAGAATTTAAAAAATCAAGTGATGACCACTAATGTCTGGGTAGAACAGGTAAAATTAATGATCGAAATAAATATGTTTCATTCATTGTAAATTTTATATATTTATAGAGATGGAATGACTATAAACTAAAATGGAATCCAGAAGAATACGGTGGCGTGGAAATGCTATATGTACCTTCCGAAAATATTTGGTTACCAGATATTGTCCTATATAATAAGTAAATTTTAATTTATACTATAATTTATTAATGAATCAATATATAAAATTATAAAAGAAAAAATTTGAAAATTCATACTTATATAAATAAATATTAATGAAATATAATTTTATAGTGCAGATGGTAATTATGAAGTAACGCTTATGACAAAAGCTACATTAAAATATACTGGTGATGTATCTTGGAAACCGCCTGCAATTTATAAATCATCTTGTGAAATTAATGTAGAATATTTCCCATTCGACGAACAATCGTGTATTATGAAATTCGGTTCATGGACTTACAATGGCGCTCAGGTTATAATTCAAAAATATTATTTATATTAATGAATATTTTTTAATCAAAATCAAATAAAAATAAATTAGTTTAAGAGATTAATAAATAATTAAAATTAATATTATTTACTGAAAATATATTTTGTAAAAACTTTTATTAATAGGTAGATTTAAAACATATGAAACAAGAAGCTGGTAGCAATTTAGTTGCAAAAGGAATAGATTTGAGCGATTTCTATTTATCAGTAGAATGGGACATTTTAGAAGTACCAGCATCGAGAAATGAAGAATATTATCCATGTTGTACAGAACCCTATTCTGGTAAATAAATTGCTATAATATTATAATATTAATGTTATAAAATATAAATGCATTTTAATAATTATTTACACAGATATCACCTTTAATATTACAATGCGAAGAAAAACATTATTTTATACGGTTAATTTAATAATTCCTTGCGTGGGTATTACATTCCTTACAGTACTCGTATTTTATCTACCAAGTGATTCAGGTGAAAAAGTAAGAATTATAAAAAGTAATAGACAAATAAATAGATATTCCATAAATTTATTTAAAATATTTAATTTCTATAGGTATCATTATGTTCTTCCATTCTTCTCTCACTGACAGTATTTTTTTTATTATTAGCCGAAATTATTCCACCAACATCTCTGGCTATACCACTTTTAGGAAAATATTTACTATTTACTATGATTTTAGTCACTTTGTCGATATGGATTACTGTATGTGTTTTAAATGTCCATTTTCGGTAATCTAAAATAATATTATCAATTTTATATTGTATATTAATTATTTTATCTATAAAATATTTAAAATCATATTTAATTGTATTATATAGATCTCCATCTACACATAATATGTCGCCATGGGTTAGACAAGTATTTTTAAATTGGATGCCGCGAATTTTAATGATGCGTCGAACACCATATTCAACTCCAGAATATGATGATACATATATGGATAGCGGATATACTAATGAAATAGATTTTAGGTAAATATTTTAATATCTATCGAATTTTTAAATAGAAAAAATTTCAAAAATATACATTACAGTTTTCCTGATAGCGTTAGTGATTATCCATTGGAATTGAAAGGAAGTCCTGATGGATTTGAAAGTGTTACCTCTCAATATAAAAATATACGAGAAGATGATGCTCGACATATTCCACATGCATCAGGTAAATATTTAGATTAATGTATAATATATCATGTCATATAAAATCATTTATTAAATTTAAATTAAAATAAAATTATTTATTAAATTTATATCAGTGCATTGATATTTGAATAATCTCGCATGAATATTATGAATATACAGTATTTTTTAATTTACAAAATACACAATACATATAAAGAATTACATGGCAACAAAAAAATAAATAATCGCATATTAGAATAACGAAATAATTCGATAATTCAATATTCTATACAATGGCGTCTCACATTACATAAATAAACTAATGTTATGTAATAGCATATATTTAAATATATGCTAACAACAAAATACTGTTATAGTCACCGATAGTGAAAATACAGTCCCAAGATATCTATCTCCGGATGTTATCTCAGCTCTTAAAGGTGTGCGTTTTATTGCTCAACATATAAAAAATGCAGACAAAGATAATGAAGTAAGTTGAATACATATTGTCTAAGTATTCATATGTTTTACTTTTGATA